ACAGCATGGGTACTTATCCCGAAGCACTTTCATTTCACGAGAAAGCCTTTGAAATTCGACAACAATCGCTTCCTCCCAATCATCCTCATTTGGCTACATCCTACGCAAATATTGGTGAGGTGCATCACAGTATGGCTAATTATCCCGAAGCACTATCATTTCACGAAAAGGCCCTTGAAATTCAACAACAATCACTTCCTTCCAATCATCCTGATTTGGCTACTTTCTACAGCAACATTGGTTCGGTGCATGACAGTATGGATAATTATCCTAAAGCACACTTATTTTACGAGAAAGCCCTTGAAATTCAACAACAATCACATTCTCCCAACCATCCTGGTTTAACTATTTCCTATCACAACATTGGTAATGTGTATTACAACATGGGTAGTTATCCCGAAGCACTTGCTTATTATGAGAAAGATCTTGAAATCAGTAAACACTCACTTCCCCTCAATCATCCTGATTTGGCTACTTCCTACAGCAACATTGGTTCAGTGCATGACAGTATGGGCAAATATCCCGAAGCTCTTTCATTTCACGAAAAAGCCCTTGAAATTCGACAACAATCACTTTCTTCCAACCATTCTGATTTGGCTACTTCCTACAGCAACATTGGTTCAGTGCATTATAGTATGGGTAATTATCCCAAAGCACTTTTATTTTACGAAAAAGCTCTTGAAATTCAACAACAATCACTTCTTGACAATCATCCTGATTTGGCTACTACCTACAACAACATTGGTTCAGTGCATAAATACATGGGTAATTACCCCGAAGCACTTTCATTTCTCGAAAAAGCCCTTGAAATTAGACAACGATCACTTCCTCCCAATCATCCATGTTTGATTGCTTCATGCGGGAACATTGGTGTAGTACATGACAGCATGGGTAATTACCCAAAAGCCCGTACCTTTTATGAACATGCTATACGAATCGGAGAACAATCATTACTTTTAAATGATTCGGATCTTCAGATGTATAGAAATAAGCTCGAAGATGTAATAAACAAATAATAAACTATATTATTATGAATTTTTTTGTGAAAGGGAAAGAATAAAATTTTTTAAATGAGAAAAGAATTGTTTCAAGTGTGCACGCGTACAAAGAAACTCTGATCTTGTTGAGAACAGAAATGGATAATAATACGCATCTATAAAGTAAGCAATACATATGACGAGACATGTATTTAGAAAAGACGTTGACCATATATAATTATTGTGTCGGAACAAGGTAGAGTTTCGCTATGTTGGTTAAGAAAAAGAACGGCTATCTAACAGGCTGTTTTAAGTAATGAAGAGAGAGCAAAGAACTGCATTTATATTCATTACTATGAATTATTCTTTCTGTTTCAATAAAAAGAATGATTTAAATGTATTGAATAAATAAATGATTTCTTGACATATTAATATACTATGGAACAGATCAGTATGTTGACAAGAATAGGAAGCACTTCTCAACTTAACTCAATGGGATGAAATGAGCATATATAAAGTGTCATTAACGAGGTAGACAACAAAAATGCAATACAAAATGATTGAGGAGGGTGTGGGTGTATGTGTTAATTACAAATAAATATAATACCTACAGCCACACCCACCCCTCACAGAAATTTATTGCTAATACCATTGAAATGCAAACGAAGTCTGTTTTATATGTAAAAAGCGTGCAAGATCACGTCATTTGCTGATATCAGTGCATGATAAGGTAAAAAACGATTTTGTTTATCGTCCTACATTCTAAGCACATACACGGCTTTTTTTCATATCATTAGAGCACACAAAAAAATGTTTCTTACATTATTTTTACTCGCAATATTTCTGATTCTCTACCATCGAATTCGTTCATTTCGTTACTTTTCCTTGCGCTCAGTTCCTGGTCCTCATACTTCACTCTTCTTTGGTAATCTACGTCAACCATGGAACTGCCAAAGTATTAGTCGACAGCTTCAACTTTAGACCAATCTACGGTCTCTGCGAAGGTGCTCGTCAACGGGTTTGGATTGTCAACGATGTGAAGTTTCTAGAAGATGTATTTATTAGACAATATTCACACTTTACATCATGTAAATTAATTGCAATTTTTCTTAATCCAAATGAAAAGTATCCAAGTCTGTTGAATGCAAAGACCGAGACGTGGAAACGACAGAGGAAAGTAATGACTACAATATTTTCAACAATGAAATTAAAGGTAAGTTCATAGGTGCTATAGAGTTAACTTCAGGGCAAGGCTAAAGATGTAAGTAAATCGTAGGATGTATCAAAATACCATAGAGCTTCTTATGGGTTCAGAAACTTTTCCAAAAACTTCTCCTCTTGTGTTTTATAAGTTAGACTCTTGCGATGGGCTTCTAATGTATGATAGACTGGAGATATATTGGATTCTTGAGTCTATACAGAAAAAATTGAAAACGAAACTGCGCACAAACAAATATTGAACTGCTTTTATTAGATGACAATCAACTAGATTCTCCTATTGACTCGAACAACTGTAATAGAAGTTGATTTCTATTTTTCTAGGATCTATTTCCCTACATGAATTCCTGTGTCACTCATTTCCTCTTCAAACTTTCTACAAACGTCTTACATTTGATATAATTTGTTCCTGTTGCTATGGTTTGGATACGTCTTCCGAAGAATATTATCAAAAAGTTGAAGAGATCTTTGCAATTGATATTACACAATCTCTATGGGTGAAATTAACTTGTTTACTTGATTCGACGTCGTTTCTGTGAAATTTGGTGAATTTCCAAGATATTGGGTCAGAGAAAAAATTCGAGAAATTGTTGATCTAGGCGTAGAAAGTCGTGACGATGATGGAAAAATTGATTTAGTGCATTTATTATTGAAAGCTACAAATAAGGTAACACATCATGTTTTGAATCAAGTAACTTTGAGGGCTTCGGAATGGACGTTTCAGGCTCATATCAGTTTTAATAATCCCTTCTCTCTCTTTTCTTTCTCTTTAAAGGATGGCTCGATGTCTCATGGTGAAATCTTACAAAACGTTTCTGCATTTCTTATCGCTGGCTACGAACCTACAGCAGCGACTATGGCCTATTCCACTTATATCTTAGCGACTCATCCAGAGGAAGAAGATATGAACATGGAAGAGAATTTAAAATTGAAAAAGGTATGCAGAAAGTGAAATTAAAAAAATAAAATGTGGTTTGCGGATCAACTCTATACCTCTCTAATCGCTTTTCAAATGCAATAGTTTGAAACTATATCTGTTGAAAAACATTGTCCCCGTTAATTTTGGGAGATTTTATTAACATTAGATCGAGAGAAAAAAGCGTTTTTTGACGAGGTTCGAAGTATTTTCACTCTCTGAGACGACTGAGACAATGTTGTTCAAAGAAATGAAACTGGGATCTTGATGGGAGGTAAAACAATTTATTTGTCATTGAGGACTTTTTTAAGAATTTCACTCAATATTGCGTCCAACATTCATCATTGAAGATTTTGTCTTGTTTCTGTCTAATTTTCCTAGATGATATCGTTCAAGCTGATGTCTATTCACTCCACGATTCTTTGGATCTATGGGGACCAACGGATCCAGGATTATTCCATCCTGATCCTCATATTACACAACAATCACAATCCGCTTTTCTCGGATTTGGCTTAGGTCCACGCCAATGTATTGACATGCGTTTTGCTATATCAATTATTAAATTAACATTGATACGTTTACTGAAAGAGTATACGGTGGTACATAGTAACAAATTAGAAGAATATTGGTGTTTACAAGATAAACGTGTTATAACTCCCTAAAACTGTTGGATTCGATTAGAAGCGAGACAATGACGAAAAACTTATTAAGTTTGTTTTATGCATTTATTATCTGGAAGTTTCACATTTAGAGCGACTGCTCAATAAACAGTTTAGTTCCACGATTTGAAAGTTTTACAAAAATAAATACGATTAGTCTCTGTGTTGATTATTAATTAAGACACAGTATCAGCGTCAATCATCCCCCACAACCACCACAACCTCCACCGCAACCACCACAACCACCACCGCAACCACCACCACCTCCACAGCCACCACCACCACCACCACCACCACCATTGCTAGCGCCAATATCATTTCCACCATTACTTACATAGCCACTTGGTGGATATGTAAAAATCGGTGCTATTATCATTGCACAGGAGCTGAGATATTGTGATGTTTTTAGTTCATCTCTATCAATATTTTTACCATAATCTACATTATAAGTCGACTTCCATCGATCAGCTGTTTTCTGATAACCGTCAGTTAGTACGTTGTCTTCAATAGAATCATCATGGTTAAGAAGAAAGCCACATAAGGCTATTGAAGTTTCTTGATAACTTGAGGGAAATCTCATATATGTATGCCATATCAAATCAATTTCAAATGTTGGTACAATAATTCCATTGTTGTTAGCTAACTTCACAAATGAAACATAATTCTGTACCATTTTTTCAAACGAATCTCTGTTCATCTTCTGCAAATTCATTGAAAACAGATTATGTTTCTGAAATTTTTGTAGGAAATCAATTTGGCGAAGTACAGCGCTTGCCAGATCAAGCGATGGAATAAATGTAGATCGGTGTTTTATAGATTTGAACGGCACAAACGAATGATAATGTTGATGTTTTTTCATTCTTAATCTTGTGTAATTTTTATCCACAACTTTATGATCTGGTAGTTGATTAATACAGTCATTGCTATAAGCAATTGGATGCAGACGATGAACATGCCAGATCCATTCGATTTCCCATGGAAGCCTTCGTTGTTGACGCCGAGTTGTAAATGCTTGATACGCCATACGTCTACAATAATCTTTAATAAAACTATTCAACTTTTTTTCTTGCTGCCATATTTCAGAATGCTTGATTACTTGACGCAGCAATAGTATATGATCAACTAAAGCATGGTATGATATTTTAAACTCCTTGCCATCACTTGTGTGAATATCCGCTGTTAAATGCGGTATTCCAGAGGAATATGAGCTGCCCATCTCTTATCAATATTGTTGTTGAACAAATTGTACTATTTGAGCGCAGAATAGTT